TTCAACAATTTTTCCAGTTAAACAACATTAATTCCTGTCATTTAAAAACATTTCAGCTACACATCGTTTACCCATGTAACATATCTACAAATCTGGAGTTTGAATTCATTTCTCAAAACGCTACTTCTTCAGAAGTCTTAGATGTAACACTCAGAGACGAACATTAGTCAATTATTTTGCTACATGTTTAACACTACTGAAATCAAAAGCGATTCAATCGATTTTTGTAACTGTTGGTTTTGAAAATGTTGAATTTTATTCTTGCTGGTACCTACTTGTATGTTAAACATCATCATCATCATCGACAGCAAGAATAATCTTACATATTCTATGTTCCGCTATTCTCAGGACATGACCTTTCCAGTTTCTCGATATTTCTTTATGGTATCTATAAGATGCTCAATATTTAGTTCTTCTCTGATATCTACACTTTTTTATGTTGGACATGAGATTATTCAGATTATTCTGGGGTAGAACCCCAAACTTTGTTTTTTAATTCCGAAAGAAAAGAATAGTGTAAAAAAGAGATAATACTTTGCTTCGCCCTCGCTCAGTTGTGTTCGGTAGGGCAGAAAGAAAACAATCCTCCGTTGCAGGCGGAGGCTGCCGAGGGCGAATGAGAGGAAACGTCGTTTGGCTGGATGCGCACGCGCAGAACACACGAACTGAAAGCATCAAAACGTGCAACACAGACCTCCCACAATAGAAACAAGGGAAGCCGCGTTTTTATACGCTTCATGAAGCTTAGCAAATGACGTAACCCAGCGTGTATCACTAGCCGAAGAACTTCATGTTTCCCGTATATTCGGGGTTCGGTGGTGTAACGGTTAGCTGTTAGCTTATCGGAGAACTGTTATACCCAAGTTCGCGGGTTCAAACTCGATCAAAGCCGTGGATTTTTAAGGGCAAAAAATCCTTCGTACGCCTTCTTTCGGAGGAGACGTAAAGCCGGGTGTCCCATGAAGTAGATTTACTGCGTGTAAAAGATCAAGTCTAAATGAGGCGTCTGAGCAAAATTATAAACGCCTGTTTTATCACCCGAGTGATACCATCTTTCTCTGTGAGACGGTGAAAGGGAACGTAGCGTTATCAGGTTGGCGAATGGTTAGCGAATGGTTGGCAAATGGTTGGTGAATAAATGAAAGGCGTTGGTTAACGAATTGGCGTTATCAGGTGGAAGATCAGGCAAGATAGCCTGAGCCTCGCTCGGAAAATAAGGCATAATTGAATTGGTATTTATTAACCACAATGATATGTCTGTTATCTTGTTTCATTAGTCAGCCAGTGTCAAACCAACTTGCTGGTGGTCTTAAAGATATAAATTTATTTGAACTGCAAATGGGCATAACCCGGTGGCAGCTAATTACAGAAATAAGATAATGCAGCTAACATGCAACATATAATAATAATAATAATAATAATATAATAACAATAGTAATAACAATAACATTAATAAAAAATAATAATGATATAAAATCTGTCTAATTCATAAAACATTATATTAGCTTAAAAACAAGAAACATCTATAATCTAACTCCGCACTGAATGTTTGTTCAACCAACTATACTGCACTTCACTTCACTTCACTATGGCCCTTTAATCACTTCCTTCATTATTCCTCTGTATACACTGCACGACACCTCACTTCACAATATATTACTTACGCATCGCTCTATAACCTACTATTCTCTATTCTCTCACCTACTATTTTACTATTTTCAATCATCTACTACACAGAAGCTGGAGTAACTTCTATGCATTCGGTTTATTCCCATCCTACCTTATCATACCCTGCCTCACTCAGATCTGCCCTTTACTTTACTTTCGTGTATTTTTTGTCGCACTCGTTCTTACCACATCCCGTTCCACCAGCTCACATCTCACACTTCCTTCTCAACTTTTCCTGATCCGCCTCGCCATGTCCTATGCCTCCATGTTTGCTAGAACCGTCGTTTCCGTGAGCAGCTGTAGACATACGCATAGTTACGTACTACTGGCCATCTTCTAGTAAAAATAATGACTATCAATTACTCGAAGTCTAATTGACCAATCGAAACTATTAAAAAGCATTTGGTTTCATGGACTGAGAAAAGTATGCCTATAGTTCATTGTAATGAATTTACTTACTGCCTTTGAGAAAAATTCACAAAAAATCGAAAGAATTACCACTTAAAGTTTGTTTAAAAGGCAGGAATTGGAGATGGGATAGTTTTATAAAATTTCATGGAGGCAGTATTTTTTCTGATTTTGATGATGTAGTACATTTTGATGGTATACAAAATTTTTATTAAAATCGGAATGAAAGCGTAGATTTGCATAAAAGAACAAACAAACATTCGTCTTTGAATAATAGAAACAATATTGGTTTTAAAGAAAAGTAGCCTAAGTGATGCCCAAAAAATTCTCTTCCTCTCAGTGAAACCCCATCACTATCGGTTTAACCATTTCGTACATTAGCCCTGAGAAACAGAGAGATAAATCGTAGAAATAATTCAATTGTATTTTACATCGTATAAATAAGAATGTATTATAAAACGGCTGGTAGTTTGAAAACAGAGACATTTAAATTTGTATTTATATAGATAATCATATTTTAGACAAAACATATCGTGCAACCCATGCTGTAGCAGTTAGTTTTCTCGTCATTCATCGCATTGGACAGGGTTCAAACCCTTAATCCCCTCTCGATCCGATTAACGAGGAATATGTGGTGGAAATAGCGACTCGTAAGCTTTCTCGGGATTCTCCATCTACTTCTTACCACATCCCATTATGTTCCACAGAGTTTTGTTAATTACTCATTTCATCATCATTGACAACTGAATGTGACAGCATAATCGCCTTGCCGAACAGACCCAACATTGGCCATGTTAAAATTCTAGCCATAATAAAATAAATGAGACAAAAAAGGGAATTAAGATTCTGTCAATAGTGTAGCGTAGAATTATTTTGTTTACATTTCCGCGACGTCCCGGTTGCTCAGCTCGGCTAGATCCCAATATTGGAATCCGCCAAACCCTTCCCCGACCCGGCCTCGTATGGCGTTGCCACGCACTCGTCCACTCGTCCGTCCCAACATACCTAGAAGCATTGCGTGTTGCGTAAATTTCTTTTGTGTATTTGTTGCCTCTACAACGCCCATTTTATCCCCTCAAGGGTTTATGATGATAACAACAAAGTAGTTTGACTTAGTACTCATTGACTAACAACCAAAGCATTGGACTATGTGCGACACGTGAGGACAGCACTCTGTAGATAGCGCTTCAAAAAAAGTGTAATGCTTAGTACTGAAACTCGTAAAATGCGACGTTAGAAGTAAGTAAACAACAAATTATATTAATTCAACGAGTGTGTAAAGGTGAGTCTCCATTTCATTTAATTAAATAGCAAATCGTTTGCGGTAGTTACGCATGCAAAGTTGGCGAAGATCTACTCATCCACTTTTCTATTCCATAAATCCTTACATACATAATACAATAAGACTTCATAAATTTGCCACAACAATGATATATAAAAAAGTACAGTCCCTAACGACTGAGATCGCTAAACCAAACACATGTCAATCTGATCGGTGACAAACAGTGTCGATCTGTCTCGGTGATCTGAGGTGTAGGTTAAAGTATGCTACCGTACCTTGATCTTAAAGTTCTATATACAAGATGAAATATCCGTTTGAAAATCTCAAAGCCTTGAGCTCGTTCATGTTGATCGGTGAAATCAGTTATGGAGATAATCTGCTGAACGGTTTTAACCACTTTTTCGTTACCAGGATCACTGCGGTCCCTCTGACTGAGAGGTCCTAGGTTCGAGCCCCGACGATGGCAGGATTTTCAACACTGGCTTGTTAGCTAGGTCGAATTCAGTCGCTGTCTGGAGAAGAATTCTAGCGGTCGGCTGCTCTGATCGGTAGTTTTCCGCGGTTTCTCCGATCAATACCAAGCGAATTCCGGAGCAGTACCCTAACAAACGGGCCACGGACCGCGCAAAATCCCGCTCAATTGAGACTCAAACTCTAAGTCCTGCCGATTAAAGACACTGCAATGTGAATAGCTGTACCTCTTAGTTATCTCAGCAGATTTTTTACTACATTGATTTCCATTGAGAATAAGGGTGGCAACGAGTGTTTTGGCTAAAATTGTTTGGCAAGAAACATCAGTTATTTTGTAATAGAAACTACAGTTTTCATCAACAAATTAGATGGGGGTTTAGGTTTGATTGATTGATTGATTATTAGTGATCACAGGCGCGCCAACGGCAGAGGTAAATAATCCCGTAAGTGTAATGCATGTTTTTGCTCGGGAGGAGGCGGTGACTTCCCCCTCTGGATGGCGATAACCGGCGCCTACCTACTGGGTTTTCCCCTACCAGGTATATCCCACCAGCGGGGCACCGCCCCTACCGGGACAAGCTCTGAGCTCCGGACCAGTCTTCCGGCGTGTGAGGTAGTATAGTGCACGTAAGTGTAAATGTGTGTAAGTAAGGGGTGAGGATAGGACAAGGAAAAAAAAGGAAAGATTGCTCGCGGTCCGTAGCCCATTTCGTAGGGTACTGCTCCAAAATTCACCTGGCATTGAGCGGGCAAAGCTACCGATCAACGCAGCCGATCGGAGCAGCAAAACGAAAAACTACCGATCATAGCAGCCGGTCGGTAGAATTGTCCTCCTGACAGCAACAGAACTCGACCCTGCTCTCTGGCTAATGTCGAAAATCCTGCCACTGTTGGGACTCGACCCCAGGACTTCCCGGTCAGAGGCACTGCAGCGACATCAGGGTTTGGGGTTTCGTCCTTTAGCGACATTCGAGTATACGCTTAATTTTCGCTATTATACACTTAATCCGTGTAGCCGTAATCCGTGAGTAAGGCTCTCCGTGAAGCCGTGCGGCGGCCCCCGCGCCCGGAACCGGCGACCCGCCATCGGGCGCTCCTGGGGCGGCGGCGGCGACGGCGGCGGTGGTGGAGTCGGTGGAAGGGGGCGGCGCGGCGCGGCGTTTCGCTGGCTATGACCTGCCTTCGGCGCGCGCGCGCGCTCGCTCGCGCCCCGCCTCCTCCTCCTCCCCCTCCTCCTCCTCCTCCTCCGCCGCCGCCTTGGGTCATCCGTGACGTCACGTCTGACGTGGCGTATAAAAGGCGGCGCGCGGCGCCCTGCCGCCTGTATGCAGGTGCGCCGGGTGGCAAGTGAGTAGTCGGTCGCTCGCTCGGGAGTCGAAGCAGAAGAAGCAGAAGAGGAAGAGCAGGAGGAAGAGGCAGCGACGCTCGCCAAGTGCTGCGCAGCGCAGCGGGCCCAGCAGCGCGCAGACGACGCTCAGCCAGTCGCCGCCTGAGCGCGCAGCCGGTCGCAACTCGACGCGACAGCAGCAGAACCGGCAGATCCCAAGAACAGGTAACTCGACTTCGACGCTGGCTACACGCGGATATGAGGTGTAGGGCGAACGGTTCAGCCGATGGCAAACGGACGCAAGCACCTTTTTTTTGTTCAATTAAAATAGCACCAACTACGAGGTCATTAGCGATCGCAATTGATTAACGTTAGGGGTATCTGTATACTAAATGAAGTGATATGGTGATGCTGAGGAATGCAAGAACGAACACATACAACCCCGCTTGAGGCGGGACTCGAACCAGCGATCCCTCGTCCCGAGGCCACCAGGCCCTTAGCGATCTCGGCCACCCGGTTCGGGTTCGGGTAACTGCAAGCTCCGCAGTCGCTGTTGAAGGAATGCAATAGGTCTTTCCTTTGCGCCGGTGAATGCGACATTCCATTTACGTGACAATTAACTTTATATGAGCTATTTTTGTGAACTTTCAGTAAAATAATTCGATTCCAACCGTAGAATTTGCGAATGTTTCCCTGCTAAAGATCTGTGTAAACACAGCGTGTTCGCAATTTCTTCTACTTATATGCGTCAGGGATGCTGAAAGCGCACTAAATCAAGAGGAGACGACCTAGAACGTTGTATGCATTGCTACACATGCAAGTTATGGCAGCTTCCTTGCCGAGCGAAGCTCTCCAACAAACGGTCAGGTAGAACAAAAAACAGGGGAAAATATTGTGGCGACGGCTATTACGTTATTAGCAAAGTTTGTCAGTGGATTTTTGTCATCTGACGCCACCAGGTCATTTCTAGAGACAGCGATGTATGTTGGGAATTCAAACGTTCACTTGACGGTAGTTGGGTTGATTAATGCAGCGCGAAATACAATTCGGCTTTAGATGAGTAAATCGAAAAGAACAAAAACTCCCGAAACAATAACGACGCGAAAGTTCTGTGCCGTGAAGTGAGGTTGATAGTGAGAACATTGTGGTGACTACATTTGTTTGGTGGTTTGCAGAGTTGGTTGGTAGACCATTCACATTTTGTCGCCAGCAGTACTATGCCTCTTTCCGTATATAATTGCATCAATGGTCGTTTGAAAAATTAAGCGTATACTCGAATTTACTATCAGTTCAGTATGGTTGGTCATGATAACACGAAATACTTAACAACTTCGGGATTCCTCGTGCAGACCCAAAAAACTGTCTAGTGCCTAGCAGAGTTGCTAGCAGGAGCTCATCATAAATCACCTGCAGTGCTTCTCCCCATATGCAAGCATAACTATTTGAGTCCCGCTACCAGTTGTGTAGTAATGTTAATTCTGGCACCGGTAAATATGACTGGCTGACCAATGGCCACCAAACTGAGTAAACTGTCAAAGAATAGTATATCGAAAACTAAAAGACGTATGTCTTCGACCAATCCTTTACAACTTGTGTCATGAAATGTAACTGACAACGTTGAATCGCAAGAAAACTGGCCGGGTTCAGCACTCGAAGTTCAATATCAGTGAAAAATGTTGCTTCTCTCGAAACACAACTTTTCCACGACATGTTTGAAATTGAAGTGTACACTAGAGTTCATCTGTGTTGTTGGGTTTATCTTGTGTTGGGTTGCGTTTAGTTGATTCGATCGAAACGAACTAGTGCTTCCGCAAACATAACAGCGTACGTATAGAAACGGTATATTATTGCTCTGTGGCATGTAGTGGGGTTGTTAGTGTCAATGTGAAATAACTATGGGATATTTGTTTGTTTCGGTTTGGCAAAGTTGGTCGTGGAAATTCGACATTCGTCTCGCCCAAAACTAACGTTTCTCTCAGAAACCAGAACGGTTGACATTTGAAAACGCATTGTGGACTGGATTCCCGCTGACAACTGAATAGAAGTATCTTGACTATGAGAAATATGTGGCCCTTTTAACAAACGGTGGCTTAGCTGAGTTAGAATGCCTCAAAGTCTCGAATGTTAGATATTTCTAGAGAGAATGAATGCATTGACAACTATAGAGCATATATTGTCAAGTGTAATTGGTCGTGGGAAATCCTAACACAAGTTCGATAATCGAGTGAGCTAACTCTATCCCTCAACAATATCCTTACAAAAACAATTTATTATTCAAATCCGTTCTTAATTGAACTGTTGCTGAAACGTTCCCTCGCAGCTGTAGTCATCCGTCTGAGCGGTCTCATTGTCCCCATTCGAAAGTTAATGAAGGTGTAGCGGAGGAAAAATACTTGTCTAAGTGGATGGGGGTAATTGAGTGTGAAAAATGTAGATAACCGGGTTTTAAAAACGCGAGATGCCTTTCATCAGTTTCTGTGGTTAGTAACAGTGTCATTTTCAGTGAGAACATGAAGGCGTGACACTTATGGCAATTGTGTGTCTGTTCAATAAAAAAAATGAGTAAGGGAAGTTCCCAGTTAATGACTGTAAACAACGTGCTTCTTTTCTTTCTTATTGATACAAACCGCATTGCAGGAAACTATTGAAAGTCTTCGCACAGTAAAATGCGCATCTGAAGAAGAAATATTAATGATAATGATACTTACTATCAAATGATATTTATTACCAAATACTTCATTGCTTTTGTGAATGTTGTTATTTCAATTAAGTTTTCATATTAAGTGTTTAAAAAACGACGATCTCTGGCGTACCAGAATTCCATGTCGAGTTACAGGCAATTTCTTTTACGTACTGAAAATATTTCAATCGCAGTTTAATTTCCAATCCTATTTCAGTGTCAAATCAAACACAGTAGTGTAGGAACTTGTTAAAACTGGTAATTGCGACATTTTATAAGCCCGATTATGACAATGCCTTAATATTCAGACGCAGTTCTAACTTATTACGAATAAATATAAGGATTAACGTAAACTATTGGATTCTTAAAAGTATCGCTAACATTTGTGATGAATTAATAGCGTGTTAGTGACAATTAAGGAGTGAAATGCGTTTCTAATTGTATATGTGTGGCTTGTGTATGTATGATATGACTACATGAATTGGGAAGCGCAGGGTTTTAGTAAGGGAACTCGGAATATTTTCTTTGAACAAAGAACAAAATGATGTTATTTCATTAGCATGGTTTTGAAGTGGAAATATTTTTTGTCTTCGAAACCTTTGCTATTTTTTAATAGCTACAGTTGGTCGGACTGCATTGACGTTGGAAACGTTTCTGAAATAAAAACGTTCAACTGGTAAGTGAAGGTGACCCATTACTTATTCAACATATGCCGCCTACGGAGTTAAAAAATATCCAGTTGTAAAACCGAATAATATTAACAGGCATGATGATCTCTCAGACCCCACAGAAGAGCTCTAATACCTTTGCTTCGCACTTATTTGTAAAAATGGCGTTAAGGAGAGCAAGTGGCCACTTTGTTTTAAATAGGACCAGTTCCTTGGTTTCCAAGAAATTACTTGCACATCCTGCCCCAGACTCACCGGACCTGTCGCTATCCGGGCTGCATTTAGAGCGAACCAGCTTCAACTACACGATCGATAATCGATTAGTCGATTTCTCAAAGTATACCTTCCGATGCAAATGAACCAAACAAAAATTATTTTTCAGTATTCTCAGGATTACTGCTACTCAGTCAAATTGGTCAGCAACTTTCAGTGACAAAAATAATGGCTTTCCTTTCCTTCAATCAGTAAATTAAATTTAAAATCGTTTGAATAAAAAGGTGCAAGTTTAAATAATCACTACTGTAAACTGCTTAAATTAATTATACTCTCTTAGAAATATGTAAAGAAGTGTTGTTGTGTAAACAATAGTACCAGACATTCTTCATTTATATACTACATATTTTTGCGACTGACGTTATCTTAATTATCAGATGATGTCGATAGAACTGGTTCATTATTTTAAATAAAACTGAAATAATGCTTCCCAAGCAGCGTACAAGTCTCAGGGAACAGGAAGCGTAAATGCATTTTTTAAAATAACTGTATGATGTTCATCGCTGTACACATGACCCGTTATTAGAAGACTCATTAAGAAATGTGTTGAAAAAAAGTCGACATTGTTTCCTCCTCAAGGAAAATAGTATAAACCAAGGTGCTCTGTGAAAGAAACCTGAAAAGATTAATAGGTTCATGCACTCCCAGCCAGATATTAATACTTGAGTAGTCGGTGACCAGTCGCATCATCACGTTCGGAGAGTGTTGCAGTTACAGGCGTGACTATAATATTAGATAACTTTCCTTCATTGGAAATAGCATACACTTGGAAAGCATAGTAGTTAATTCAGTCAACTTTATTTAATGTGGCGTTACATTTCATTATTTTCCTAAAGTTTTCACAGGTGCGTGTACTGTCCATTCTTGATTCGTTTCCTGTGCCAATCTTCATTCATGATGCAATCACCTAGTTTTAATTTACTATACATTTTACATTTCACCTTTCAAAGTAAAATGTATTGCTTTTCAATAATATTAGGAGAGGATTATGACCCTTGTGACACCACTTCTGAATCTACCTCTGCTTTGGGTCCTTTATGTAAATGTGTCCGTGTTGAACAATTTTTGTCATGTGCCTGAGTTGACGAGAGAGTCATCATGTTACTCCTGAGAAAGTATGAAGGGACCAACCGGTTCGGACTGTGCCGTGTCAGCCAGCGCGAGGCAGAGAAAAGATTGTATCCCGGGCACTTGCAGTGCACATCGCGTTTGGCCTATCTGCGAGCTGAGTCTCTTGAGGAGCGTTCACCGCTGCAGATTCTCCGGAAGTGGCCTTCTGATAGTACTGCTGGAAGCTTCACTGGGGGGGGGGGGGACTCTTTTACCGGTTTCTGCAACCATCGTGTTTATTTTTCTTAGTTGTCAGGAATCGCTTGAAAGTATTTTAAATCGGTGAATTGTTACGTGCGTGATAGAACTTTTATTATCTGAGCAGTCCTTTGTGTACCGCTGTCCGCTCCTTGGTATCCAGTTGCGAGATTTGCAGTCGTTCGACTGATTGTTTGGAATACTTTTCTATTGACGACCAATCGAATGCGATAATAATCCTGACCATTAATTTTTTTGTTGTATTGCAGAAATTGATAAGAAAGCTTTTTAAGATATCTATTTTCCATAATCTCTTATCGAAAAATAGTATTTACCTTAACTTATTATACGTAGGTACTTCTCGTTTCTACTTTGAATGTTTTATACGACGAGTAGACAATGAAAAGTGAGTCCAATTCAAAGAAAGTTTTTCAGTAAAATTAAATTTTAACGTTCATCAGAATGTAGAAAAGGGTGAATAATACATGTAGAATATTTTTGTTTGATACACATAAACTTGTAAGTTCGACTCTCAAATTTCTGCATAATGCCGTGTGCTCAATGGGGATTTTTTTGTAAATATAAATCTTTTGTTTCACATTAATATTTAAAAATTACAAATCTTTTGTACCTATTTTATTTTTATTTTATTTCTTTTATTTTTAGTCCCATCAACAACGTAGATACAAAAACGTCGATAAGCAACGAAAATAGTCGCTAATAATAGTCCTATTATTTCCGTTTCTTCGTACAAAACATCAATAAATAAATTAAACAATAACAGCATAATTGAGAATCATATATTAGTAGTAACAATTGAAAATAGTATTTTTTTTTTAAATTTTACAACACCTCCCTTATTTCGCGTCAGCGGAACTCCCCTCCGAACAGTCCGTCCCTTTGAACGCGCGGCCTTCTGGCGGTCGCTCGGGCCATTAGTCCGTCTCAAATGCAGACGCAGGGCTGCGCCGTGCGTGGGAGGGGGCCTTGGCGGCTTCCAGGGGGCTGCGCGCGCGCGAAGAGATGTGCAGAGGCAAATGCGTTTCCGATGGCGGTGGGCGACCATCGCCCCCACGAACGAGTTTTTTTTTTTTAAAGCAAACATCTTAAGTGTGTCGATGGCTGAATTTCAACTACACATGTCTCAAAAGTTGTGACTTTTCAGGAGAGAAGACAAATGATGCATAATTTTCAATAGAAACTAATAAAACTGTGAATAATTTTCGTCGTTTTAACAAATTTTCAAGAAATTTCACTGGGACGTGTCGTCAGATTTCTGTAAAAGATTATCTTACCTTTCGGGTGATATTATCTTCAAACAGCTAAATTTTGAGATAGAGGTTTTTGATTAAATTTAGGCATCTTTATAGGTAAACTTAATATGACTGGAATATGCCTAGTTCATTTATGCAGAAATAATTTATTTGTAGTTAAGCGGGTGAAGCGAATGACGTTCTGTATTTTCTGACGTATCTGTATTTTCGCGGAAAATGCTATATCTGTTCTCAAGAACACGAATCTTCATCTCGGATGCCAATTGTAAGTCTGGTCGTTGACTTGAAAATGCGTGAGAGAAATGAGTTAAATGACAGTGTCTATACGTAAACAACTAATTTAACCCAACTTTTTCCATCCGGGAAATTGTCATCTCTCTTTCTCTTCTCTATCTGCTCTCTCTGCTCTCTCTCTCTCTCTCACACACACACTTTTAAACCCAAAGAGTGACAGTCAGGCCCTCTCTGAGAGTGAGAACATCAACGGTTAATCAAACGAATATACCGCACCGGTACTTCCACCCGCTGGCCCACCTTTCCGCCCATCTGTCTTTAGCTCCACCCACCCGCCCGCACCTCAGTCTCCCCCTTCCGCCCTCGCGCCTCTATCGACCTCGTTTCGGCCCCACACAAAGCAGTTCTGCCGCCGCCAGCGGCGCTCCGCCTCCTCCTCAGCTGCTATCGTACCCTTTTGCCTCTTTCTTTGCCTTCCCTTTCGCCTTTCCCTCGTTTCGCTTCCTTCTTCGTCTTCGTGTCCTCCTACGTTCTTTCATCTCCGTCTTTGCCTTCGCTCCCCTCGAAAAATGACTTCGTCTCCGTCTTTTCCTACCTCTTTGTCTTTGTTTTTCTGTTGTCGTCTCCCTTCTTCATCTTCGTCGCCGTCTCCTCGGTCCTTCCGTCTCTGCGTCTGCCTCAGCTATCGTCTTCCTCTTTTGTCTTCATCTCCGCCTCGAATTCCACTTCCTCTTCTTCCTCTTGCTTCTCCTCCCCATCCCCTTCTCCGCTTCCTCCTTCTCCGCTTCAGCTTTTGCCGTCACCTGCTTTATCGACTCGCTCTCCCACCCACACGCTACCGGCGCATAAGGAAACAAATAAATAGCGAAGGCGCAGCCCCTTTCTCTACCAAGTAGTTACCGAAACATTTTTTTCTCTGCAGACTACGAAGACTCTCGATCAGAGAGATCGTGCCACTTATGAATGAACTGTTTCGTGGGCTCCTAAACGTCACGAGATAGTTGTTTATGTTTTAACCAGTAGTCCATATGAATAAGCGGTTCGATTTGTTTACAAACTTCTGCATATAATGATGTAGTGCTTTAAATATTGAATAGTTTTGATTCTATCCTTTTTCAAAGCTGGAATTGAACGTTACAAGATGGTAAAATATGAATATACATTTTTCAATGCGCTCTTTTAAATGCCTGAAAATGTGATTCAGAGAAATGTACTAAATGTTATCACAGTACAATTTAAATTTATTTTTAAACATCAAGATATCCAATACGTTAATAGATCATCGATTTACTTAACTCATGTTCCAATTTCATTAACAAAGTTTTATATTGTTATATCGTCATTCTAACATACAGTCAAGAAAAATATGTTTAATAATAGTAATTATAATAATAATAATAATAATAATAATAATAATAATAATAATAATAATAATAATAATAATGTTACTACTACAATCACTGCGTCAACTACTACTGTCATAATACCACCACTGCACTAATCCATTACAAGTAGGTATGCTGCCACAACATTCCCATTAGTACTCGTTGGGAGATGTACTGTGTGGAAGTTTGTGTTTGGTACCAAAATCAATGCTATCATGATGACGAGGATGACGCAGTAACTAATTTGTATATTACTGTCCTACAAATATTATCTTTCTATTTTGAACATATTTTGTTTTAATAATGCGAATTTCACGACATATTTCAATCTCACAATTTACAAGTTTTCATTGCAAAGAGCATACAATGCTTCTAGTCAATGTTTCTGTTCCAGACATTCCTTGACATACCATATTTAATGTTTCAGCTGGTTATTCTATACTTTCATTTAATCTGCCCACAATTATAAAGGATTTATTGAAGATAATAATAATCTACTATCTCTACTATAATCTCAATAGTTGCATTAGACAACTTAACTAAATTTTTCACACAGTTTACTGACATTTTATTCACTAGTAGTAGTGACTTTAAACTCATTTTTGCCCGTTCTGCGCAGTACCAGATAATCCACGAACCACGTGACTACAACGCGGTCACTTCATTTGAAAAGCCAGGACTGACGTTGGCCGCCATGCTGCATAGCAATCGAAACGTGTTGAGAAACATTTTGAAAGTGACGACCTAACAAATATAATACGATGGAGGTGTAGTTGACATAAAAGATTGCTTTTATGTTGAGTTGAATAAAAAATGCTTCTTATGTGTGTGTCAATGTCGTATAACAAGGTGAACATTTTGGTATCTGACGACTTTTAAAATTCTCGCTAATATCTCGGCGCAAACTGGTACACGAAGCTTGTTTTCTGTAGCCGGAAAGGTCACGCAGTGGCTCATCAACGTCTTTTCATCATGAGCGTACACCATTCATCTGTTTGCTTTATCTCGTCCTCGAATACACAAATGCCGGCCTCGAATAAAGAAATGCCGGCGTCCCGGACCCACCGAGTGTGCGGCCACCGCGAAAGGCGGGCGCCGTGGAGAACCGGTCGGCGGGGCGTCGCGACGCCAGAGAGCTCCTCAGATAACGAGAGCGGCGGGCTTCCGGCGTCGCGTCGGGCGTCGTGAGGTGTCGGTCGGTTGTGCGCAAGCACTCTCGGTCGCGCGCGGCCGCGTTATCCGCCGAGATAGGCCTCTGGCCGGCCGGCGACGCTCTTCGAGGGCCGTGCTCTCTGAGAGCGGCTCTTAGGGGACAGGAGAATTGAGGGAGTCCTGGTCATTGGGGGTCGGGAGAAAGTTCTGTTCAGTTCGTGCCTTATTTTACGCGGCGCTCTTCCGTCTGACCGCGCAAATTTCAATACGCTCCTTTCATGAGAGAGAGAAGGTACAACTCGGGGGACGAAACAGCCGATTTGAATTTAGCTCGCTGGCTTCTTTTAGGCTTGGGATTCTTTTGCATGCAGTGAATCTACAACATGGGGCGGCCGGCTTTACTTCTCCACCAAAGGAAGACGTACAAAGGATTTGTTCGCCCTTAAAAATGTCATGCCATCGGGTATGAACGTGCAAACGTAAGTTCATCAGCCTGATACCGTTATGCCAGTTAAAAAAACTTAATGTGGCTTACTAATCTACGCTCTGGGTCTTCACCAGGGGATACAATTTTGCTCTCACAGTAGGGCACCCGAGCGACGGCTCTTATCCTCACCCGCCGCGGGCGTAACAGTAACAGTAGGACTGGAATCCGGACACACCGGAATCGCGATACGTACATCAACCCGCCGTGTCACCAGCTCGAGACCACCAACTTTCCGGTTCGGTACCGGAGCTGTTTGCGTCGCTCAGTGCATTCGGAACAAGTCTCTCCCGAAAACGTATGGGTATTTGGTACTGCCCCGTCTAAGCCAAACTGGTGGCCACCTAGGCCGTTATACCCGGGGGTCACGGAGTCTCCCACCCAAGCCAACCTCCAGAGTTGGCTCAGTTGTATTAACCGATGTCACTGCAGGCCCTCTGGCTGGCAGGTCCTTGGTTCGAGTCCCAACGGTGACAGGATTTTCGGCACTAGCTACATAGCTAGGTCGAATTCAGTCGCTGTCCGAAAGAGAATTTCGTGCGATCAGCAGCTTTGATGGCTAATTTTCCCTAGTTTCTCCGATCAACACCAGGCGAATGCCGGAGCAGTACCCTAACAAACGGGCCACGGGCCGCGCGCGTTCTTTCCTACCTCTTCCTTCTTCTATCCTCTTCCTTTACATACACTTACACTAACACGTACTACACAAGCGCACATGGCAGGAGACCGGTCGGGAACTCAGAGACTTGCCCCGCTGGGGCGG